AATAATGGCAACTATTTTGATTAAATAAATTTGTTAAAAATTTAAAACATAAACAATTTAGATTTTCAGTACAAATCGGCAATTTCATACTTTAACCCCTATTATTACAATCTCTTGTTTCAAATTAAAGTATTCCCACTAGAAATCAGACGTATTTGTATGTGCGTGTATATGTCGAAGTGTGCCTAAGCGATATGTTAAAGGAAACTCCTCGCACATTAAAATTAACTTTCGTGGACTGCAACGAATTCCCTTATTCACTTCCATTATCAATTTGTTTATTCAGCTATTAAATAATATTATCAGTGGGTTGCGATGAAAACGTTTAACCACTCTTCACTTTAAGTAGTTCCAATATACCTATTAAAAGGGATCTTAAATGTCATTATGGTAATTCACAGAGAGTGGTCGCAATTGTTTATTTTCCAAATCGGCAACACAGAAAACCTAAATTGTCTCTCCTTTTTAACAAGACAATCTTTCGAACAACACATCCAAATGGCAGCAGCGCTAACGTGATGTTTGTAAAAAAAAGAAAACCTCTGTATAGCCGCTCACGCGATACATACAGCCGTAGACGCATACCACATCTAAAGGTGCCGGTGATGATTTTATACCGATTTATCGGATATCGAAGTTATAACAGGTAAAAGAACTAATATTAATTGCTATTTCGGTAACTACTCTAGCAAACCATAAAGTTTTTAATGCCTGGGTCTGTCATTTAAAAAAAATAAACAACTTCAAAAATACGGCTGGTGATTTCGGTGTTTTCAATAAATTGTAAATTAGTTGTAAATTGTAAATTAGTTGTAAATTGTAAATGTTTTCAATAAATTGAAAACATACCGTAAGTGGCGTTTTTTTAAGTTTACCCTGAATATAAATGTTTATAAAGTATACTTTAAGGAGTGATTTCATGGTAAAAACGTTAGAACCGCTCAAACGGAATATTTATCATATTTATCCAAGTACACCAAAAATTTCTTATATTATATTATATATAAGAAATTGAAAAAAAATTAAAATATAGTATTACTGCATTTTATTTGAGATGTTGTTGTTGTAGTACGGAGGGTATTTATTTAGCAATGCAGAATAATAATTTTTATTTATAAAAACTTGTAATTAAACTGAATGCTTTTCTAATTTGCGAAACCAAATAGCCGCCATTTTGCGGTAGGAGGAGCGCATCGCGTGAGGGGATAGACGCTTTTTATGACTCATTTTGGTGATGTTATTTAGTAAGTGTAGTTATTATTATGATACTTAAAAATTGTTACAGGTCTTTGACGTCATGTTTCCGGAATTGAAGCTATCCGTTCAAGCTTATTGTGCATTAACCTTAGTGCCTTTAGTGCTCATCTGTCAAATAAGAAATCTGAAGTACTTGGTGCCGTTCTCAGCGTTAGCCAATTTGCTAATTTTATGCGTGTTTGGTATTACTATGTATTTTATCTTCACTGATTTGCCACCTGTTAAGGATAGAGAAATGGTGACCAGTGTTACGCAGTGGCCGCTTTTTTAGGTAAGATATTTATAAAGTTAAAGAATAAACTAAGAATTATTTTGTATCTCTATGTATGCAATTGTGTAATATTCAAATATACATAATATTTAATAGGATTCTTGTTCAGTAAATCATTGTTTGTCGTTGTTAAGTTTGTAAATTGTTTGCTTTTTTTGATCGGGCAGGGAGTAAACAGATTTGTCTTGAATAGTGAATGTGGTAAAATAACATAACACACAATGAGAATTTGTCTTTTTCTTATTTCAAAATGCGGCAACAAAAAGATGCAATGCCAAAGGAAAACCTGTCTAAAGCAAAGCTTCCTATTAAATAAATTTATCCATATAGCTACAAAAAATTTAAAATTTGTAAAATATTAGTGTTTATTTTCATAAAAACAAACCCAGGAAACTACAATCGGAGTTCGTTCAATTTTTTCTGTTATTGTTTCGTTTTTAAACTAATTATCATACCGGGAGCAAACACAATAAATTAATCAAGCTAATAAAAGTAGATTGAATGGATTTTTCTTAGAAAGTTACGCATTATGACATGGCTTGATGGTGCGATTCCTGGAACCGGTTCTCAGTCCAAGATCCCAGCTTTGCAAACACTGCTGTGAACACAAACTTTATCACTGGCGTTAATCCATTAATGCGGCATTTTAGAATACTACGCTATTACAGTTTTAGAATGTCGCTTGTGTATCACAATTTTACCGTATCGACAGGCTTAGTCTATAGTGTGCCACGCTGACCCAATCCAAGTTGTAGACTCCACACGTTTTCCAAAGATTGGGAAACTTTTTCGATTTGCACTTTTCATCATGATGATTTTTTTTCACGATTAACGGGTGGTATTATTAGACATTCGTAAATGTCCGTAACTTCAAAATTTAAATCATAAGCACGACCTTTCTATTAAGAATCGACTATTCTCACACTGTACTATCGCTCAAACTAAACATACCGCTGAAAAACTTTTGACATTTGACATTCACATTCAAATTTCCAATTAAGTATCGTTTTGTATTAAAATTTATGAGAATATCAAAGAAAGATAAGCGCGCTGTTTGAAGTTAAACCAACAGTGAAAACGAATAAATTGTCCCCTAAGTTTTTTTTAGATCAATCGTAAATGTGTCGGCCTTTAGACATCTTCTTGAAATTAATTACATGTCTAACGTTGAGTAAGTAGTATAATATAAAAGTAAAATCTTTCACTGTTGTCGTTAGAATAATGATTCGTTTTGTCACAATAATCCTCTGAGGGAAACTCCGAATGGATTCAGATGTTCAGTAATATTCCATTGTCTTTCAGCAAATTTGCAATGCGATGATATATTTCAGTCTCATGGGAGCCATCACTCAGTTTCCTTCAATTTTACATTAGACTTTGGAATTATCAAGATGTATTTGGTCTATTTTAACAATGTGTGTACATTCCCCAACAATTTATTTGCAAATTTTATCAATAGGACGCCTCTATCGTTTCTATAGACATGACTTTATGTAACGATGTTTTTGTTTAGATTTGTTAATGATTTAACGTATTCTAGAAACCGTGTAAAAAGTAATATAGTAAATCTAACATACATTTTAATGTCAGATAAGCTTAATTTCAATTTTGTATCTTTTTGTTGCTGAAAATCGTTTCCGTTTCGAAAGGATTTTATGACATAGGTCGCCAGATCTTTGTTTTATCTAAGAGTACTGCTAGTGAAGAACTTCACCAAGTCTCATTTATGTTATTCTAACTCCTACCTTAGTGGAATAATGTACTTTTGTAATAAGTTATAGAAAAAATACGACCGCTACATACTTAATAATTCAGGTTCTTAGGTTTTTGCGATTGTTCCACGTTGAAAACTGAACTATCTTTTCCAGATCTAGATCGTAAATATTCCTTTCCGATACTTTACTACGGGTTGACTGAGATGATTTGTTTGGAAAAACAAATAAACGCGATTTAAATCTGAAAAAGTAGTTAATTTTTTTTTTCAATTTACGTACTTACTTCGGTGGAGCAGTGACCCAAAGTGGGTTTTGGCCTTTGACATCAGATTCTGCCACGCCTCCCAGTCCACTAGCACCGGGGTCCTTCAAAACTTTTTGGACTTCATTGGTATTTTCATTTCCGACATTTAATAAGTATTTGTTAATCTTTTCAGCACAGTAATATTTGCCATGGGAGGCATTGGTGTGGTAATGCCAATAGAAAACGAGATGAAGAATCCTAAACGATTCCTGGGTTGCCCCGGGGTGTCAAATGTTGCTATGGTTATTATAATCTCCTTGTACGACGTTTTCGGCTTCTTTGGATATGTGCAGTACGGCGATGATGTGAAGGGAAGCATTACTTTGAATCTACCAGAGGACTATATGTGAGTACCTTCTACGCTTGCTTATAAAGATGCAAAAGAATGAAACGTGGAAGTTGTTTACTGGCTGAGAGGGTTATTTATGCAGAACTTGCCTGTATGTGATACCCTATTATTGGTAGCGCAAAATGACACTATGTTTTTTGATTGACCATCGGAAGAGCAAGCCCAATCCCAGACACTAGAAATTTATAAGATCCTTTGTCCAACGGCTAGCAAAGCATGTGTACAGGTGGCATTAATTTATTTTTACGAGTAGTACAAAAAAAAATGTATTGTCTTTCTTAAATGTAGTTCTATTATTTGCTTGTATGATACGACGCAGTCACAATCACAATAGAGTAGTTTTAGAGCTATAAAATGTTCAACGCTGTACACTTTGTTTAGTGTTCCTTTCAAAGAACCTAAACAATCTACAAGAATGTGTTGCATGGTTATTATTTATTTAGGACTTTCGGGAAAAACAGAAATAATAACTTTATTTCTTTTCTTACAGCATCGCCCAAAGTGCAAAACTTATTATGGCAATAGTTATGTTCCTATCCTACGCCTTACAAATGTATGTGCCGATGGAAATGATAAACCGAATGCTACAAAAACGTAAAACACAAAGTTATAACAACCTCATCCAGGTGACTATTAGAACAACGTTGGTGACTGCCAC